CCAAAATTTTTAGAGTCTCGGTCATTCAAGTGACCTCGGATTTGTCCACCCCCCCCCTCCCTCCCTTTACGACACCCCTGGTTAGCAAGTGAACAAAAACAGCAGCTACTCAACGTACATAATGCAACTGGTTAATATCAACAGCAATCCTCTGCAATTACAGAAGGAGAAAAGCATCACAACTATCCGAAGTGTGTAAAGTTCTGTTTACTGCAGGGTGTCAAAAGACACACTGGATGGTTGAATCATTAACTACGAAAAGCTGGAAGAGGCTGATGTTGCCTGACAGACGGAATTCACCTATTGAGAGCCGTGAAGCTGAAGAGGCGCTCCACCTGGGAATCGACAGTGACATCCCTCCTTCTGATGGAGTGCTGCCGCAGGCTGGACACCGGCAGCACCTCAAAGTCCGCCAGCATGTCATGGAGGCCGTCTGCCAGGGGGAGAGGTCAGAGGTCAAGGCAAGTATGTCATCAAGTGAGCACAATACAGATGCAAGCAATTCAAAGTGCTTTACAGAGGCATAGGGATGCATTAAAAATTGACTTTAAAATCACATTTAGAAGACAAAAACACAGAGCTGCACTGTCACTGCTCAGCTGCACTGTCACTGCTCAGCTGCACTGTCACTGCTCAGCTGCACTGTCACTGCTCAGCTGCACTGTCTGGAGTCTTACGCTTCTGCAGAGCGATGACACTAAGCACAGCAATGGGTAATAGTTCGTACCGGCAGGTATGTGCATTGACTGGAAGAAATTTTAAAAACAGGTTCAAAACCCAACTGGTTCAACTTACTTTTCTTTTAAGAAATGTCACATTTAAATACTTCTTACTCCTTTTGCCTGAATACTGCACTGAAATTACAGTCAAGATTTCAGCGGTTCAACCAAAAATAGTGGTCAATTTAACCTGTAGTTTTATTATAGAAGCCCACAGAAAACCCTTAAGCTAGGTACTCAAATAAACCTTGACAAACTTTCAAGTTTTCAGGAAATCCATAACATAAACCCACAATCCACAGCCAAAAGGAATAACAGGACATTGGAAGTGTATAAAAGGGCATCACATGGAAGCAAAGACAGTCCAGACATCACACACACACACACACACACACACACACACACACACCAGTAAGGCCAATTCAGGGCCACCGATTCACACGAATATCTAGAAGAAAGCCACAGAACCGCAGCAATCAAACCTGAAACCAACCCAGAGCACTTTCACTATCCAAAATATATTAAAAAACACAAATCGTAAAGCATGAGATAAATAATCACTAATGCTGTTTACAATATAAACAATGCAGCCTTACCACCAGCCCAAACATAAGACACCGCAAACAGAGCAATCTATCAGTGAAATCATTACAGCGTCTTAATTCTTCCAGTTTGAATACGAATATTGGGTGTATTCCGCAGAAGCCGAGGTGTCAATGAAAGGGAGCGTCATATTCTCCACATTACATTGCAGCGCCGAGGGGGACCGGTTTCATTTTTCATGATTCATATCATACTAAAAGGTTATATCCGGACAAAAACAAGACTGAAATGAAAGAAGAACAAAATTCAAAACATCTAACACACCCCTACGGCATAGGGGTGCGATATAAAGTCAGATTTGAGTGAAATTTTCAAGCCAAATTTTCATTTCCATTCAAGAACGTCGGATAACATAAGTAGAACTAATTCCATTCCCGATAGCGACTTATGAACCGTAAATATTGGACAATCTGCGCAGCTAACCGAGGGTCTCTTACTTCATTATCTAATAATGATTCATGTGTCGCTGGTTAATACGCCGTGCTCCGGCGCTCAAAGCAGAGGAGTATTTTCGTGGAGCGACTGTCGAACGCGTCGGCCCGATAACTCACCGAGCCCCGCTTCCGCCGCCAAGGCTTTTATCGCGCCGGCCGGATACTTACCGAGCCCCGCTTCGCTCCGCTCCTCTTCCGCCGCCGAGGCTTTTATCGCGCAGTCTGCCGGAGACAGAAACAGGTATACCAGCAGGAAAGTGGCTGCGGAGGCTCCCATGGCAATGGACCGGCTCCCTCCGCGCTACAGCAGCGTGGGTCGTGCCGCCTGCAGACACGGGCGAGCGGCTGCCTAGCCCGGTCGGCGGCTAAGCTAAAGCGGATATGGCGCTAGCCGGACAGCTAGGATGGAGCCAGCGCCTTCCCACCGTATCCAAAATCGGCCTTCCGTACTATTAAGAGCGGCCCTCCCCGACTGCAAAGTCTCCCCCCGTAATATAAAGCTGTCACCCCCCCACACCGAAAGAAGACCCGCCAGGCCGACGCTCCGCTGCTTCCAGACGCGGTGTCCCGCACCCGGAAACACATCCCCGAGAGAAAAGAGGGCCGCCTCCGCCCCGAAATTCACCGTAACGCGCTGGTCACTTGTGTAGCGCTGCTTTGAAACAAAGTAACGCCAACGGTGCATTAATATGTATCAGTTATCGTGTTGGTCTATCAGTCATCATGTATCGGTTACTAATAATTATTACTGGGAGAAATGGATTTCTGGGAGGTGTATGTTCATATGGAAAATGAATGTGCCGCTTTCCAAATATAAGGAAATACCCCCACCTCGCATTTTGCTTTGGACCCCTGTTTAGAGAGCAAAGCAGGCGGTGTAGTTTCTGACACCACTCGGAAAGGACAAATAAGTTACATTTTGTATTTATTTTTTGCCTTCTCAGTCGGTCGATCGATCGACCAACCAAATGAATTCATGTAATAAACTTTCACGTTGGGTTCCTCGGCTTTAGTGTGGCAACATTTCGCAATAGTCAGTTGGCATTATCTTGTCTGCCAGAAACTGACTACAGACAGCTAACACGTGTCCACCAAATCTGTATTAATTTGCATTTGAAATGGTCTGAATTGGGGGGGGGGTTACGTTTATTGTATTACTTATTTATGTTTAACTTATTTAACTTAAGCATGTTTTTACCCGTTTTCTCTGATTATTCACAGTGGTGTATTATAATTATAGGCCCAGGGCCATCGGAAAGACCCGCAGATTCTTCGAGTTTTCAGCTGTTGTCCTGGTTAGGCCCACTTTAAGTCTAATATTTTAACTGAGGTTTTGCTGTCAATAAAGTGTGATTGCATGTGTATAACGAAACAGGAGATTATTTCTTTCATTTTCAAGCCGGATATTCATAGACGCCTCATTTCTTGAGTCGTAATTGTTTCTAACGTTTTACCTGCTTGTCATGTCTGTCCTTAGCACTTTCAAAGTGATCAGATACAAAAGGATAATCAAGTACATCCAAAGTTTCCTTTCCAGACTGTCATAACAGACAGGTGAGATCGTCCTAGGTTCTGGAGCCTGTCTAAGGCTATTTCCATAGTGATAGGAAATTTAATAAATTTTATTATATAAAATTGTGCTTAAAAACTAAATGCTTGATATAACTCAATGTGGGAAATGTGAGTCTCAAAAATTAGACTTCAGACAAAATTTTCCATTTTGAAGTAGCAGGACCCGTGCTAACGTAGGGCATCGGCACGTCAGAATCCCCAGTGTGCTGGCCATCTTCATGGGCGCGTCCTGCTACATAGGAACGGCTCCTGAAAGAGTCTGCAGGCCTTCAGGGCAAAGGGTTGGTCCCAGATCATATAACCACAGCAGACGTGAGGAAATGCCTCCTCATCAATGGGGAAATTTCAGTATTCAGTGAGCGGTAACTGTATATATCAGCTGGACTGCATATATCATTGTCCTGTCTTAACTGTGTATTTGTGTCAAGTATATATGCCATATGAATACACTGGAGAGCCATTAACAGCCAGGGTCAAATTCCACGCGTCTGAGAATATTTGGCCAATGAAGCCGATTCTGATTTTCTGGCTTTTAACATGTGTCGTTCCAGCTCTTAACAAGCGATGCCTCAGGGTTTTGAATAACTCATTGTACATGTTGTATTTATTGCATCAGTCCTTGCACTGACATGCACTGCTGAACTTTTTAAACACTTATCAACATGTGCATCATATATAACAACCAAATTGTGTGACAACTGTCTTGTGGAAACTTTGTATCTATCTGTATCTAAGCCTGATACCTACTAATGGGGCAGCCATTCACCCAAATCGACATACTGTTTAATAAGGGTTATCAGGAAATAGGTTTCAATATTTAAAACATAATATGAAAACCGTTTTTGTGACTGACAAATGAAGATTAAACACTTACATTAGACATGAATCTTCCATGATCCAGTACAGGGTCAAACCAATTAATTTAGTCAAACAAAGAAAAGATGTGAATGTGAAGTGAACAATTATTTCAATAGCAGAGATAAGAAATGGGCATATGATCTAATGATACAATGATGTGCTCTGTGCTGTTGGAAGAGTTTGTCTGAAGGAGGATCAAGAATGGGCCTTTCAGAATTGATCTTCTAGATCCATGGCTCCAGGAGCAGCAGGAGTGAGGAGACAATTTGCCGGGATCTTAGAAGGCAGCATATTTGTGCATGAAGTGTGATAGAACGTGAAATGGAAGCAGAGTCAAGGGCATTTTCTGTAGTGAAAATCAGACAGCTTCTGCTTCTGCTGGTCAGATTCAGTAACCCATCTGAAGCTAAGCAGGTTTGGCCCTGGCCAATACTTGGATGGGAGAAGCTGTTGTTTTTTATTCTGATGGGAGTGAGAAAGTCAAGTTGCTGCTGGGCCACAGAACCGCAGCCTGTGCAGTGGGGAACCCAGTGCAGCTATAGTGACGCTGAGAGCTTTAGATGCTCTCTGAGGTCACCAAAGATCCTTGGGCATCTTCTGAAAGAGCAGGGCTGATACCCTGATGTCCTGTAACTACCCACTGTGGCTCTTTCATATCTGGCCTCCTACTCATCCCCTATATCTAACTGGTGAATTCTCTCCTGCCCCTTCACCTTAGCTACTGTGTGGTGAGAGTTCTGGTGCAGAAAGGCTACCATCCCATCATCCAGGTGGGTGTTACACTGGCGGTGGTTGAAGTGGTGCTTTGGGCGCCATATAGATGTAATGCTCATTGAGTCCTTCTAGAAAGGTTACAATTTTTTTTTTGTCAAATCCTTCAAGAGAATCTGCCCAATGAATCAAATGAAGGATGAGATCATACTGAGGTGTGAACGACTGCTGGGCTGCATGCGTCCTTTAGCTAAAACCAGCCTGCCGACATTTATGGGGGAAAAAAGTACTTCAGTGGAAACTTAAAAACCAGTCACACCGGGAGCATCGTGCTGGGATGACTCAATCAGTATCGCCTGCCGCCTGCCATACGCTGGCATAGGTGCCCCTCACAAGGCCATTCAGGGTCATGGACTTATGAAAAAAGGTTGGCTTTGGACTCTCGCCAACTTTGTACCGAAACGTGGTGGACGACCTCAAACCGGCTGCAGCTGCCACTGGCTCGCAAACAATCTGGACCGTCCTCCTGCATCAGATCCGAAAACCTCAGAGTTTAGTATCTTGGCCCATCAGCTCCTTTCGGTTCTCCGGCTGCTAAACACAAGACGTGCAATACGTGGAGAGACAATGTGACATTGTTCACTGAATGTTTGAATTACTTTGTTTCAGACAAACTCCAAGCATCCATCTTCCAAACCCACTTGTCCTATGCAGGGTTGCGGGGATCTGGAGTCTGTATAAAATAAAAACACTTTTCAAAATATATTGCTGAGACATTCAGGATAGCTGTCATTCATTGTTTCCTTTAAATAGAACAAAGTTATGGTCCACTGCAGATATGAAGGAAAAAACATACAGAATTGACTGCAAAGGTTCTGCAAAAATATCGGTGTTTGTTACTTATGTTTGGAACAGATGTAATCGGCAGCTTGTAAGGCTGGTGATATCCAGGGTGAAGTCGGCATACCACACATGGACACAAGAGGATTTCTGGGTACTAACCCAGATTGTATTTAAAAAAAAAAAACAGCTTTTCAACTCACTCAACTCTCCTGTTTCTACCAAAACTGTCCATCAAGAGCTCCACAGGGTCAACATTCATGGTCAGGCTGCTATAGTCAAACCTTTGGTCACTCATGTTAATGCAAGACATTGGTTTCAATGGTGCCAGCAGTGTAAACCTTGGGCTGGGGGACGATGAGAAACGGTTTGTTCTCTGATGAGTCCACCTGCACCGCCTATCCCACTTTTGGGAAAGTTAGTGTGAAGCTCAAAGGAGGCTTACCCTGTGGGTTCTGAGGATAAAGCAGTTAACCACTGGATTAGTGAGCCACACCCATCGAAGATTTACTCACAGGTACAATTTGGTCAACATTCACTTTACATCTTAGCAAATATTCAAACACTCATTGTGCAACCCTTAAATTCTAATGGAGAGTTTTGAAATCACAAAGCAGGTCAGTCACACCCTTCCCAGGCACAAAAACAGACAAATCCAAAGCAAAAGCCCATATCGCTGGTACCTACCTGACTTGCATCAGAGATTCGTTTTAGTCTAATTGAATTAGCAACTTAAACTTTCTAGTAATACACCCATCCATTATCCTTGTTTTCATATCATTTCAGGCTTGCACCAAAGGAAAGCTTGTGGGAGTTTTACTTACACAAAAATGTATTGAGGGCAGAAAGAAAAATGATTGGTTCAGAAAGATCAGATTGTAGAAGAGGTTGATTGGTTGGTCCTGCCTCCTCTAGGTGCCTTGATCCACCTCATCTACAATGTGATTGGTTGTGAGAGAACAAAACTCCTTGACAGTCAGCACGAGTGATAAAAGGCACAAGCCGCAGGTGCATTTTTCTCCATTTCAGAGAGATCAGGTGTTGGGGGGGGGGGGAACACACCACATATGTCTTTTCTTCTCATGTGATGTTTGTCAGTTTAAAATCTTAGCTCAGATGTCAAACCAGGAACGAGAGAACACACAAAAATGCCTGTCACTGTTTTTGTCACTAACATGCTTTAAAGGCAAAGCCCAGGACATGACTGACACATCCACATTTTGGTTTACAAAATGTTGTTTTTTATTCATGGTACATAGCTGTTACATAGGGCATTGAACATTTTCACAAAGCTTT